CTCAAGCGAGTCTCCTGCCTCCGCCTCCCAAGTAGCTGGGACCACAGGCGCCCACCACAATGCCCAGCTATTTTTTGGTTGCAGCCGTCATTGTTTGGCAGGTCCGGGCTGGGGATTCAAACCGGCCACCTTAGGTGTACGTAGCCAGTAGAGCCACAGGCGCCGAGCCTGGAAAACAATTTTATAGCCACCTATCTTGTGATCCTTCCTACTTCTGGATTTCCCATCCTACAGACCTGTGCTTCCGGCGGCAACAACTATTATACTGGGGAGCTCTGTGCAGAGCGCTCTGGGTGATAAGCCGTGTCTGGGTTAGCAGAGGAGCCTGGTAAGGAGATGGGAGACAGAGTCAGAGCCTTCAGCGCTAGAATGAAATCAAAGCCTGGTGTGTGCAGCCAGGTTCTGTCTAGAACATACCCTCCCTCTTATTACCTCAGCTTTGGTCTCTTCCCTTCTCAAGTCATTCTGCTGTCTTGGATTTTGCTTCGTTTCCTTTCCTGGCTGCTTCTTGCCATAGAAAAGCTGCAGGCCTCGGGAAAGAGAATTAAAAACATAGCACCAAGAGTGGTATCCAGAGATTTCAAGGGTTTATTTTCTATCTTCCCTGTCTTCCCCTAAGCTTACTGGATAGATGTTTCTTGCCTGCACGGTGGGCAGTCAGCATGGCCAGGGTGTCCAGTACAGGTCGGTGGGGACAGATGGCACAAGCAAAACTGGAGAGGGAAAGAGGATAATTGGTTTTAGGAGGGTTGGAGGCGGGGTTCCTGCTGTGGGTCCCACCCTGTCCTAGTAGTCCTTTCCAAAGCCCAACTCCCATGTCTCCTAATCTCCATCTCTTCCAGTCCTCACCCCCGTCAAAGAATTTAGATCCTCTTGATATTCTCCTAAATAAAGTTTGTTGAACCCAGCTCAGTGACACCTCTAGCCCCAGCTATTTGGGGAGGCTGAAGCGGGAGGATGGCTACAGCCCAGGAATTCAAGGCCCATTTGGACCACATAGTATGACCCCCTCTCAAAAAAAAAAAAAAAAGTTTGTTGAGCCTCTAACCGCAGAACCCTCAGGGTTGATCCACTCTCGCCCTCACCGTCCATCCCGCAGCATCAGCGCCTCATCCTCTGGGATGTAACTGGCGAGGAGATCTCCGACTCTTCGTTTCTGCAGGGGAGATGAAGAGTCCAGACCGGATCAATGAGACAGGAGGGAGGAGTGGAAAGGAAAGGGTAGGGATGAAGAGTTAAATGGAATAAGGACCAAGGGGAGAACAGCGACCACAGGGAGGACCAAGGGGAGAACAGCGACCACAGGGAGGAGAAGCTGAGCTCTAGTAGCTTGGTTCTCTCCCACACCCCCGAAGTGTTGCCAAAGCAACGAAACGAAGCTCTTTTACAGTCTTCAGACAGCAGCTGAAGCTGTTTCAGACCCTCCCCGCTCACGCTTACTTTGAGCACATTGAGTTGACTCCAATCGTCCCCTTCTCTCTTGAAAGACATCACGACTGTGAGTCTCAGAAATGAAAAATTATTTTGCACCCGTTCAAACACTCCTGCAAGCCACCGTAGCAATAGTGGAACGCCTTTCCTTTTTCCGGTTTCTTTCTGGTGGGCCTCCGTACTTCCGGGGATTCACGCATGCACTGCGCGGCACGGAAGGCCCGCCTCTGCCGCCAAGGGAGACTGCAATTCCCTTGGTGCCCTGCGGCTCCGCGGGAGCGGGGCCTTCTGGGAAATGTAGTTTTGTTTTTCAAAGCGCTTGCCGCTCAGGTGGAAGCGGGGCCTTGGAACCTCTGTAACGACAAGAACCTAGATGTGGAGCAGGAATTTGAGGATGTGATCTTTGTGATGCGGTGCAGACCTTTGAGAATGTATGAGTGGAAAGTGTATTAAAACGCCCGCGATCATCACGCGTTCATCTGCTGCGACAGTCCACCTGGGATGGGCCTGATTTGTTCCCGACCTTAGCAGGCGAACCCCAGGACGAGGCGGTGCCGGAATGGGAGGGCGCCCCGAAGCCAATCTGCTGGACGTGGGGGCAAACTGAAGAGTGTTGAAGAGGGTGTTTAAAATTCAAAGGTCATAGGTCAGTGTAGAAAGGAGTTGTGGGATCCAAAGTCGGAGGGGTGCTAACTCAGGTAGAGACTGAATACTCAAGGGATAGATTTGTGGGCGAGGGGTTTGGAAAGAGAAGCAGCAGCAAGGTGCCGGGCGTGGAGCCCGGGAGAGTAGGGAACTTGAGAGGAGAGAAGGGGAAAGAGATCTCCTGAAAATCCATTCCTAGACTTCAGGCCGGTCACATTCAGTCATTTAGCTGAGCCTCCCAGAGTTGCAACCCTAGCTTCTCCTCAGGGTATCAAAAATGGCTTCACCCTCCAGACAACCCCCGCTGGGGGGTTCAGGACTGCTTCACGGGAGCCGGGCTCGTTCTTACGGAAGCCTGGTTCAATCGGCCTGCTCCCCAGTAAGGGAAAGACGCCTGGAGCATCAGTTGGAGCCTGGAGACACCTTGGCTGGACTAGCACTCAAATACGGGGTGACGGTGAGTCTTTCCTAATTGGAGTGCGGACAACCAGTTAGAGGAAATAGTTCTGGGGAGAATGCCTTTTAGGCAACCTCCTCTGGAATTTTTCTGTGTTGTGGTCTGTTGTGCCTTTGTCTTTTTATTTTTCCATCTCAGTATTGCACCGTCTGGCTGGGACAAATGGGTCTTACTATTCCACTGGAGAGGATAGCTCCTGTTTATTATCCCAGACACTAGGCTAGGGGTTTTAGGTGCAGTAACCCTTTAACCCTAGCATCCCTGTCAAGTATACAGTTACTGTACCCTTTTTTGTTTTTGAGACAGAGTCTCAAAGAAGGATACAGTTACTGTACCCTTTTTTGTTTTTTGTTTTTTGTTTTTTTGAGACAGAGTTAATTGCCCTTGGTAGAGTGCCGTGGCCTCACAGCTCACAGCAACCTCCAATTCCTGGGCTCAGGCGATTCTCTTGCTTCAGCCTCCCAAGTAGCTATGACTACAGGCACCCACCACAATGCCCAGCTATTTTTTTGTTGCAGTTTAGCCAGGGCTGAGTTTGAACTTGCCACCCTCTTGGTGTATGGGGCCAGTGCCCTACTCACTGAGCCACAGGCGCCACCCATTACTGTACCCTTTTTGTAGAAACTGAGAATTAAATTGGTTAGTCAGTTTGACCAAGGTCAAATACCTGAGTATAAGAGTTGGGATTTAGGCTTGGTGCCTGTGGCTCAAGCGGCTAAGGCGCCAGCCACATACACCTAAGGTGGCCGGAGACTCGCTTGAGCCCAGGAGTTGGAGGTTGCTGTGAGCATGTGATGCCATGGCACTCTACCCAGGGGGATAGCTTGAGGCTCCGTCTCAAAAAAAAAAAAAAAAAAAAGAGTTGGGATTTAAACAGGTCTGTCTAACCCTATTAACTACATAGAAGATTTTTAGCTGAGAGTGATTAAAAACATTTACAGCAAATAATGGAGAGCTGATTTTTAGTTCTCAGTACCTAAAGTGCTTATCTCTTGTTTTTGTCTTCTCTTCAGTGATCTGCCTTCTTTCCAGTAAGGTGGCCTCCTTGGTGCATAAGAATTACTGTCTGGGCTCGGCGCCTATAGCTCAACCGGCTAAGGCGCCAGCCACGTACACCTAAGGTGGCGGGTTCGAATCCCCA